TACTACTACTACTACTACTACTACCACTACTACTACTACTACTACTACTACTGCCACTACTACTACTACTACCACTACCACTACCACTACTACTACTACTACTACTACTACTATTACCACCACCACCACCACTACTACCACTACTACTACTACTACCACCACCACTACTACTACCACTACCACTACTACTACTACCACTACTACTACTATTACCACCACCACTACTATACCTACTACTACTAATATTACTACTAATAATAATTATAATAATCATACTGCTACTGCTGCTGTTACTATTTCTATTACTATTACTACCATTACTATTGTTTCTATTTCTAATTCTATGTCTACTAGTACAACAACTATTATTATTACTGTTACTGTTGTTTTGTGATTTTCATTGGTAATTATAGTTTCTAATTTTCTCTTCGCTGTCTCTCATTCCCTTCGTGTAAAAGGCGTCCAAAAGTAAAACTGCCCTTCCTATTTTCTATTTTCATGTTATTAAACCGTTATCTCTGATGAAAACTATGCTTCAGTCCCTTGTATATCGACATTAAATCAGTCTATTTATATTTACTCTTTCGAGATATCTCCTTCTAGCAACTCTTGTAACTTTCTTGTAACTTCTAGTAAATCTTATAGTATCTCGTTCTAATAACTTTGCAATAGCTTCTAGTATCTCGGTTTAGTAATTTCTAGCAATTCTTTCCAGTAATATTCATAACTTCTAGTAACGTCAAGTAACTTTTGCCAGTAATATTCATAACTTCTAGTAACGTCTAGTAACTTTTTCCAGTAATATTCATAACTTCTAGTATCTCATTCTAGTAACTTCTAGTAACTCTTTCCAGTAACATCCGTAACTTTTCCTTTGACTCTCTTATCAATACCTACTCGCCCTTCCTCTTAAGCCTTCCAGATCTCTCTCGAAAACTCTTGAGACAAGGAGGACAAATCACAGCATTTTCCACATCGGGCTTCTTCTTCGTTCGTTTTCTTCGTTTTCCTGCGCCCGATAAAGATCCACTTTCTTCGTATCTTTTCTTTTGTTTTACCTTATCAAACGTCTTCTCGTGATTGATAAGACGTTGACGTATGTTTCTGCATTTCGATATGTCTGTACATACGCAGGCACTTACGCGCAAACACATTCAAACACAAATACACACATACACTCACTCACACTCACACTCACACTCACAGAACTGACTCACTCATTCACACACACAACACACACACACACCACACACACACACACACACACACACACCACACACACACACACACATCACACGCGATACGGTGACTAGTATCAATTATTCAACTGTCACTCCGCCCCCAAGCATTCTTGCCTCAGACTCAGAAAACAGTTAATTTAGCAAAACAGGTAAAAATACATACAAGGTTGCTACTTGCTGGCGAGGGTTTTGTACGAGTGTGAGGGTTTTTTTCTGTCAATTAATTTGCCTCTCTGGCATCCCTTCCATCTCTCTCTCTCTCTCTCTCTCTCTCTCTCTCTCTCTCTCTCTATATATATATATATATATATATATATATATATATATATATATATATATTCATCTATCTATCTGTCTCTCCCTAGCTCTGTAGTGCTGGGAATGTGATGAACGCCCAGCGTAGTCATCTGGACCCACCCCCTTCTCTCTCCCTCTCCCTCCACTTCCACCTCCCCCCTTCCCCTCTCCTCGTACACACAACAACAGGCTGGTCGACCTCCCTTTAGCGAACCAACAGGTCCCTTGACTCCCTTCGGCCCTTGGCCCAGAATATTGCCCCTGTACTGTTTGGGTTGTCGCCGATCTTGTCTCCATTTAGCATTTCCTCCCAAAACCTTTAAAGCGCTTTGAGGAGGGTCTGGGGGAAGATAAGAGTCTCCAGCCAGCGTTGTCTCGGGAGTGGCGCCAGTAGTGACCGCGGTTAAAAATAGAACGATTGCAGAGGCTTGGCTTTTTAGATTTTGTGCTTACTGTAGATGTTAACGCTGTTTACGAGCAAGCAGGTAGTTCAGAGAAGGGAAGAATCACCTCAACAAGCATTATTAGTGGCTAGAAGGTGTTTTAGAAGCCCGTGTGTAGGCGACAGAAGAGCTGAATAAAAGGGGTCCCTGGATTTACCTCATGTTTAGGCTGGAGGTAGGGTTCTGGGTTCTGTTGGAGGACTGGACCTGCTGGATGGGTATTTTTTGTGTTCTTGGTTTCCACAACACGAGTCCTGGCCTTTTGCGATGGTGGGTTTGTTCTTGTTATTGGTAGTGGCTGGGGTGGGAGTTTATAAACTATCATCATCAGTATTATTGCTATCATTATTATCATCATCACCATTATTTTCATCATCATCATCATTATTATTATTATTATTATTTAAATTATTATTATCATAGTAGTAGTAGTAGTAGTGCCGCTACAACTATCCTCGTCGTGATCATCATTATTATTTTATTCTAGTATTGTTATAGGCGTTATTATTATTATTGTTATTATTATTTATTATTTTATTATTATTTATTATTATTATTGCATGTTGCTGTTGTTGTTATTACTATTATTAATAATGATATTAATAGTCATAACGGTAATAATAGTAATAATAATATCACTACTTTTTACGGCATCCCCCTGATTCCCATCACGAGACTCGCCCGACCCCGGTCACGTGACGCCAGAAGGAACTCTCACCCGGTCTTCTGCCGATTTCTCTTCAGGGAATATAAATACCTTACTTAAGCCTAAGCCTAAGCCGGGATTTTTTCATTGTGTTTCAGTCTGTTTCTTCAATGGATTGGCCACTCGACCCTGAAATACAAAAAGATGGCGTGTTTACAATTATCTGTCGTGTACGTGTAAAAATGTAAAAAAAAAAAATGTTTTGTTTGTGTTTTTAAGAAGTTTATTCTGGCATTAAGTTTTGTGAGATGTATACGTATATGTATGTGTTGTGTTTATCAATTTATTGCTCACTAACGCTTTGCTAAATAGTAGGCTATCGAATCCTCTTGTGATACAACACCTGAACTCGTTTTGTCTATTCAAGCACTTACTTTTTTAGACCTTATTCACGCCATGTACTTGTTTTAATGTTCATGTATATATTGATTTGAAGAAAAAAATAAAATCCTGACCTACCGCAGTAAACAATAAAGCAAATGCATTTTTTCTCGAAGGCGATGGTTAAAATGGCGAAGTGGTCGAATATTAAATGTCGAGAATATTAAATTCAGATTTCGCAATATCGTATCTTCCCTGGACAAATTTCACTCCAGGAATGCATCTTCCTCGGTCAGTGGCTTTGGTCATGCCTTGCAGACGGTCAGGATGTGACAGAAGTGTGATACAAGGCAAAACGTAGCTTCTTTCTCTGCCAGGCGCTGTGCATGGCAACAGGTCTTGTGTGTGGACATGCGTGTGCCTTTTTTCCCTCGTACAAATATTGAAGTGGAAGCTATTCTGGGGAACGAGATAGAATGGAGCTTGTGCATTGGACTCGTATCAGGGAGAGTGAGACAGATAAGTGTTGTCGTTGGGATGCCGTTTTGAAGTTTATGGCAGCTCCGGGGGGGTTCTGAGGGGGTCGAAGAGGACAAGTGTCGTTGGGTCATTTTCTTGGCGCTTTGTTAGACTTCCGGCCAAGGGTTTTTTGGGTAGCCTGTCGCAGCTGTGTGGTCGGTTAGTTTCGTTAGGTGGTTAACAGGAAGGGTAATCGGAAAGTTTATGAACAGATTTTTATGAATTTTAATAACAGAGGCGTGTCGTAAGTAGTCACAGTAATACTCGAGAAGGAGAGGTGATTTTATTGTAATATTCCAAGTTTGAATATTTTTTTTATTATTGCAGCAGTGACTCTGTTATGTTTGATATGTTCTCTCTCTCTCTCTCTCTCTCTCTCTCTCTCTCTCTCTCTCTCTCTCTCTCTCTTTCTCTTCTCTCTCTCTCTTCTCTCTCTCTCTCTCTCTCCGTCTCTCTCTCTCTCTCTCTCTCTCTCTCTCTCTCTCTCTCCTCTCAATCTCCTTCTATCTCTCCCTCCTCCCTCTATTTTTCTATCTTGCCCCCCCCCCGCCTCCTTCGCTCCCTCGGCAGCGAAACCTTGGCGAAGGGCACTTTCTCCCCCAACCCTCTCCTACAACGCTGCGGCCGGAGGTGTGTTCTCGCCCGCGGCCAATCGGAGGCGGC